ATACTAGCAGATGTCAATAGCTACAGAGGATTGCACGACAGGCAGAACGCGTACGATTTGAATTCGGGGTTCATTTCTGTTCACTATCTTTTCTCCCTCGGGATCACCATTGAGACTAGAAAGCGTGTACTTTTCTTCGCATGATATTCTAACTAATTTCTCCGTTCTACCCTTTTTTTTTCCTTCCCCTTTTTACAAAAATTCATTTTCATTCTTTAATTTTATATGATTTAATTTTCTTAATTTTATCCTAATACATTAATTAATTTATTGATACTAAAAAATTACATATTGACTCTTAATGTTAATATTTGGTATTCCATTGACTATCCTGTAGGATGCAGGAAGAGAATTAGTAGCCATTTGATGAACAGAGAATCTAATTATATTCTCTCTGTTTTAATCTGGTTTATCTCCACGGTCCTTTTAAATAAAGAAGAAAACAAAGCTCTTTTAAGAATTATATGCCGACTTATATTACATATCAATTTCAGACCCCCTTTTTATATATTTATATATATATATATATTTTATGCTGCCAACTCATCTGTTATTGACATGATCTTAACTTGAATCACTAACTTGTACTTTAATTAATTAATTTAATAAATTAAATTTTAAACACGATAATTCAAACTTTGTAAAAGGGACATAAATCGGTCAAATTGAAACAGATATCAGATGGAACACTGCCAGCTTTCCCCACCTAATAAGTCACTCAATCTCCATTCAAGACCTCACACTTAGCCATTATAATACTACCTTTAGTCCGGTTCTTGACATAAGGATTACTCAATTGATTTAAATAAAATTAAAAAAATTAAATTAATTATTCATAAGAAAAATGTATGTCAATTCTTTTAAACTGTCATTTCTAATCATGTGCATTATTGTAGCTACCTTGATAAAAACTCTTTACTAATTATAATTAATAGGGATATTTAGAAAAAATATATAAATTTGAATATAACTAAAATAAATCATTTGTCTAACTTGTTTCTTCTTTTTCTTTCCCCAAAATATTTGTCTAACTCTTATATCTAGTGCAGAATATACAATGCGTCTATCTATATTTGCGACCGTACAAGGGATGTGATGCTAACCTCTCGATCCTTATCTTCCAGAATATATTGATGCTTCTGTCCCGTGCGGTGCTTCCACTTCATAAAGCTATATTTGTAGTGCATGCCAGCTTCATCCAATCATTCCCCTTCATTTCATGTGTGCTTTGGCAATTAGCTGTATGTATAAAATGTTGCAGATAAATGCCATTTTGGTTGTGTTAAGACAAAAGGCTACTTGTATTACTCAGTCAGGCTTTACAATCCAAGCGTTGTGAAGGAAGAAATTCATATTTTAGCGGATAAATCATATGGTGCTGTATAAGAGAACTCTCACTAAAATATAAATTATTCCTCATGTCTTTAATATATAATCTAATTGTTGAGTTGATTTTAATCATAAATATAAGACCTATTTTTCATATTTATCAATCTGTTCTAAATTATCCCTATGAATACTTTCTCAACTATAATTAAGTAAGTGAGGGAGAAATGATATTAAAAAAGATGATTATGGTATTTTAGAAAAAACATGTCATATTTCTTATAATTAACTAACTTACATAACTTCTTTAATTTAATCAAATTAGTTAAATAGATCTTATACTGAAGATCGGAAGAGTATTAAATTTATATATCCGTGCGAATATATAAAATTACGCACATAAAAGTCTACCAAGTACTTCATGTTATTTACAAAAACTGTCGCTTTAAAAATTTCAATGAAACATATTTATGGACGATATTAGATTTGGTAGGTAGACTATTCAATACATCTATTGTGTATTTGGGAGAGTATTTAATTAAGTCGACGCTATTTTGTAAGATATTATTAAATTTCACAAATGGTTCTTTTGTCTTTGAGAACAAATGGAAAATGAGGGAGTACTTACTTTAGGTATGTATTTATTCATTATTAAATTATATTATTATTAATAAGTTCATTTATCATATTGAGTAATTTGCCATAATTTTTCGGGTGGCGGTGGTTGCTTTTTAAATTTGGACTAGTCAGTGGAATTCATGACACTGTGACGGATGTCACAAGAAATGGGTCTTTTCACCGATAAATAGTACACACCGCCAAGTTAATCTAATCTATCTTTTTTTTTTTTAAAAAAAAGTGTTAGATATAATATTCATATACTACAATTATGCTTTTCTCACCCCTTCATGTGTTTATATAGCGGGGAACTTCGATTTATGCTTCTAATCATTTTTTGTTGGTTAAGTTATGCTTTTATTAATTATAGTTCTTGTCAAGATCACAAACTCAGAGCTTCTTTTTTTTTTTTTGTTGAATCAGAGAAATATTTAATTTTGTTTGACGAAAAAGAAATACATAAATTTGTTTGTGTGTAATAAATAAAATAAGTGCTTGTTGGTTTCTAAATGAACTGTTAGGGATAGTGCGCAACGAGAGAAGTGGAGTTCATAATAGTGAATCATGTCACATGGCATAGTGGTCGCCACCATCCATATATACCACCATCGTCCATAGATATGTGGTAGTAGATTGTTTCTTTAGATTTATTCTCTGTTTTTTTATTAAAATATATAGGCTATTCATATATAGGTTCTTGTTATTCTTTTACTTTATCCTCCCACCGTTTTTACAAATAGAAGTTTAAACAATAATTAATTTGAAAATAATTCTTATTATGTTTGATTATTTGTATTTTGTATTATAACTATCCTTGTGAAAACTACTCCCTCCGTTCCTTATTATAAGAGACATTTAATGTTATGGCATGTTCCCATATATAAAAGACACTTAAAAGTTGTCTATATTTTTTTTATTAATTTCCTATTTTTACCCCTATTTATTTTGTCTCCAACTCATACTCCCTCTCCCTCACCTTCTCTTTTTTTTAATAATTTAATTGTTCTCTCATACTCTCTCCTTATTAATGGGGCATTGTTTAGAAAAATATTATAATTTTTACAATATTGTATTCGACTAATTTTTTTAACTGTTTTTTTAACTTTTTTTTTTTAACGTAATTGTTATTTGTCTCTTATAATAAGGAACGGATGGAGTACTTAATATGAAAGACCAATAGGGATGATTTAAAAAGTTTATGATAAATTTGACAGGAAAGATAAAATAGTAAATTGATATCTTATATTTAAAATTGGATATAGAGCATAACAGTGTAAAAGATATTTCGTACAGATAATTTTTTTAAAAATTTATTCTGTCCTCTATTATGTGAACAAAAAAAGCTGATGACGTATTTTTTATCAAGAGATGCGATCACCATGTACCTCAACACTCCCTAAGATGAGTAAGGGCCAAAATATTGAAAGTTGACAGTTTTGTTTTCTTCCACTATAGTGGCTAGCTGTGTATGGTTTATTGTCTACGAACAATATGACTTCATGGGCGTATTGTATTTTTATATTCATTAGGATATTGGGCGGTTCATGTCACTTTCTATATATGAAGTAGTAGTGATCTGGAGGAGGCCAGGCCAATTGGACACGGTTGCTTCAAATATATAATTTTCCTTCGATTTTATTAGACAATATTTGACAAGATGTCTATCTATAATAGGGATTCTATTTATGATTTGTTCTGTTCATTCATAATGACTAGCAGTAAATATTAAACATCTCATATCTCATCTTTTTCTTTCTTGCGGGCATACAACATCTCATATCTCCAACGTGTGTGGGTGCGCTGATTGAGGCGAAAATGATCCTCAAATGAAAAGGTAGGTAACAAACCTTACAGCTTTGAAAAGAAGAACACAATCATTTTATTGAGAAAAAGACTACAGAAACTCAAATGGGCCCAAAGGTTTTTTTTTAAAAAAACTTTTTTCGGTTAGTTAATTCATCACAAAGACTATGCATAGTTTTGGATTCATAGAAATATAATCAGCTTGATTCAATGTCTTTATAATTACCAACAAGAATGAGAGTTGATCCAATTGCTAAAAAGTCAATTTATAACCTGCAATGTTATGAGTTTAAATCCTCCTGTTAATATAAGGTACTTGTTGGTGGGCGATTTGTAAATATCTCTACAGACACTCTTTGAGTTTGAAGACATGTCTTGGCTTTGATAAATTCTCGAGATCCAACTCACATAAACTCTCTTGTAACAAAAAAATGTCTCTATAATTTTGTTATTGAGAAAAGATTATTAGAGATAACATGTCATTAGTCTAATAACGATATTTGATGATAATAGAGATTTTGATCAAAATGATTATAGTTTTATGGATGAAAACTGTTTTCCCAATCAGGAATCATCATTTAGACCCACAAACTAGATTTGATCTATTTAACTAAATGGAATGTAAAATACCAAAATTACTGTATATGAATGTACTAGACAGCTTTGCAAGATACAACTTGGTGATGATCCAATGGGGCAATGATATTGTTGGATTGACCGTCCTATCTCCTTAGTAGGCCTGCTACAACTTATTGGGCTGCTTTCCCCCCATTTAGCCCAGCCCATCCAAAACCAGAGAAAAAAAAGATGACACGCGCTAAAAAGAGAGATTAATAAAAATAAAAATTGATGACCCCTGTTTTACGTGAAGAATTTGGTGGGACGCCGAAGGAGGACCGAGGGGTTGGCGGCTGACTGGGGGGCGGGGGCTTTTGGATGCGGCGCGGGTAGCCGGTGACTGAGAGTTACTGGAGAAGACGGAATCGTAGCCCGCGGAAACAGCGGTTTTGGAGGTGAGGGGGGCCAAAAAATTGTGGCTAGGGCCTTCATTTGGGTGAGAACGACGAGGTGAACTCAAGGGTGCGGGAGTTCGGTGCCGCAACGAGGCCGTCAGCTGAGACCCGATGAAGAAGAGCGAATCGACGCCGGTGGTGACAGCGGTGAGGGAGGCAATAGAAAACTGGTAGTTTTGAGTGCGTTGGAGGGTGAATTTTCGCCTTTAAGGTTTGGCTGCCATCCACTTAAATCTTTCTTTTCTTACCACCTTTCAATGGTGCGATTGGAGTTGTTCTCTTTGGCTATTACATCCGTGTGGAGCAAAGATTTTCGTTTGAGTTTGAGTGGACAATTTGCTGATGTTCGACTTGGCAAATCTTTTATGCTTCTTCTTTGCAAATAATTTTTCAGTCTATGAAAATGTTGAGCATAATTAAGTTCTCTTTATCAATCTGTTTAAATATCTCAATGCTCAACTTCTTCTGGGCAAATTCGGTTCATGTGCCTCTTAATCAACCTGTTCTGCTTCTTCACTGGTGGTTGCGCAAATCTGTCTCTTCCTCCCTTCCTAGACCGAGCTTCCCCCACCTCTAGCAGGAAATATCTCTCCTCCGTTTGAAGGAAGCACTTCCTTCCCTCACTGCTGCACTGTCCTCTCCCTTTATATACCCAAACGCGCGATCAGGGGGAGAGGAGACTGATTTCCACTCCCCATGCAAAAATCTCGCCCAACCAAAGGGGTCCTTAGTGAAAAGTGATGACAAAATGCATAGTACATACAATTGGCTGTTTATGTTAACTCCATCTAAGTGTGTCCATGACTTCATTGAGCTAGTTGTTTTTAATTTTTTAAGTGTGGTCTCGCTAAAGCTAAATGTTACAATGAACTGTTTGCTTGTAGGGTGATACAAAGTTGACGTCTTAGAGTATTGGAAGAAACCTTACTGCAAACGTCTTGTCATGGTATGTTCTATGTCTAATATCTTGCTCTATTTACATGCTTATTTTTGTTCGATTTAAACTTCTTAGCTTTAGGAATCTGGACCTGCAGTCAAGAGCTTTTTTTAGAAATTACTTTGGAAACAATCTTAAACTTCTGGAATCCTTGAGTTTTCCAACTGGTTGATAGAAACTTGAGGAACTGATGTGGTGCATTCTATCGTTTTCCATGTCATCATCTCATTATTGGGCACATCATTTGGTGGAATGACTGAGTGCAGGATCCCAATGGTTATGTGGATGATAAAAGTGAAAGTAGATTGTATATCGGGAACCTTGATCTTAGAATAACAGAGTAAGTACCTACTAATATCGCTGTGAGACATGATTTTTTGCCCACGTTTTCATGCACATTCTTATTTCTCTCCCTTCATCCTTTCCAGAGCAGCTCTTATAAAGATGTTTTCTCCATATGGGAAGATTGTATCTGAGGATTTCTTATGGCACACTCGCGGCCCCAAGCGTGGGGAGCCCCGTGGCTTTGCTTTTATCCAGTATAGCTCAAGAGAGGTAATTGGACTGTGTATTTTAGTCGTTGTGCTTTTCAAGCAATCCCTGATTTTCCTTATTAAAGTGAGTATGCAGGAAGCAGAACTGGCCAAGGAGAAAATGCATGGGAAGTTAGCTTGTGGCCGGCCACTGGTTGTTCGGCTTGCGAGTGAGAAGTGCCTGTTAGAAACAGCCACTAACTCGTCAAAAGTCACGGGAGAAGGGCACAAAATACACCTTACCGGTAATGGCATGGGACAGACAAGTCGCAGTGCAAAAATAGCTGCAATAAAGAACAAATTGAAATCAATAGAGGAGGAGAGCTCTAGGCCAAAGAAGCAGAAGCTAACTGATGATGTATCTTGAAGCAAATGTGTCAGTGAACTTTGTATAACCAGGGATTTGATTCAATGACTTGAAAAATATCAATGGGCTATATGCCTGAATCTGCACAAGGTCGACTCTTGTTAAGCCACCAATATATGCGACTCAGCTTTTTCTTTGTTTTCCGGTCATGACTTGGCTTTACTATTATCCAAAGGCTACGGTATATCTTTACGTGACATGAAATTCTTTGAAGAGAAGTGGTATGATTGCCTGTGAATTTCGGTAATAATAAAGGGGGCTGAAGACTACTTGCTGAAAAAAAATTTGTAAGCTAAAAATTGTCGCATCGAGCTGGCTCCAAATGTATGGGTGTTCCTCTGCTGTCTGCATGAAGTCCTTGTGATATTGGACGGTCCCCTTGATATGTACAGAGTCTCATATTTTGCGCACCCAAGGGTCTCCGAGCTCTTGTACGGCGATATGTTATTCTATATCTGATTTTTAATATAAGAATTAATTTGATTCAATTCGGTCTTAAAAACAAGATTTCAATTTACTTTATTTTTTATATTTATCTTTTTTTTTAAGATAGTCTTTATAATAGTTACATATATTAAATATTTTATCAAATAATAGTTTTAGCTAATATGTATGATTAGTGAGAGTTTTTTTCAAAAAAATGACACATTTATTACAAATAATTAACTTAACTAATTTTTTTAATTTATTCAAATTGGATGATTTGTTCTTATATTAACAACTAGTTGTAGTAGTGCATTTTGGAAGCCTACTATGCGATATCTTTCGTGATGCCTTATTTTAGTTCTCTAGCTTCTTATATCAGTATCTGTTAATGGGAAAGCTTCATGCCAGGATTCCATCTGTGCTGCTTTAACTGATGATATTGTAGCAGATTGGCCTGCTCCACACCATGGGCAGAGCGGCAGCAAAATCGAGAAAATTCTGTGCTTTAGCTTTTAAACCGAGAGGTGTGGTGGTGAGTGTGGGTGGGCCCGGTTGGTGGGATGGCCCCATCGCAAATACTAGTAACAAGATAAGACGGATCGCAGCGCACGGCATGATCCCCTGCTGTGGCTCAGGCCTGAAAGAAGATCAGGAACATCCTCTTCCATCTACCATTTAGCTCTCCGTAATTCCCCCACCCACACGTAGACATAGATTAATTTAAATTTATACGTTAAATCTTTAATATTCACGTAAACATTAGAAAAAGGAGAATCTACATCTGACTAAGTATAAGGGGTCTGATAGTCTGATTCTGTGAACGAAGCATGCTTTCCATTTCATGCATGCAACCAAATTTAAGAGCACCAATGGAATGAAATTAATTGATCTTTAGAGAACCAACCACTGGCAAGTAGGACTAATTTGGACACAATTCGTGACATGATCTTTCTTTTCTTTCTTTTTTTAAAGAATTCTCGGCACACAATTCCCATAAAAGAAACATATATATGGAGGCAGAGTTTGTCGCCATTACCTGCACGATTCATAAGCGATAATTAGCATTCATCACTGAAGAATGGGACTTCTGCTTTCTCTCAGAGCAACTCTCCTTTTAAAAATGCCATTTCTCTCGTCCTGCTTTCTCCTCACATGGATCATCCATTCGTGCAGCTGCAGCTGTCTCACTGGACTCTTCTCTTTTCTCAATAACATCAGAATCGAATATTTCCTTGACCCCATTTCCATTTTTAATAGTTCTACTACTCTGCTTAATACGTTCTTATTATAACAAAACTTCCCGCTACATGCTTCTCCATACATAACAATAGCTAAGCTTTCTGTTTTTGTCTAATGGCTTCGAAGCTTCTTCTTCGCACTCCATTGTCTCCTCCGTCAACGTGCCGCGTAATTCATCGTTCGTCTACTCATCAAAATCTTGTCAGTTTCTCTCCCAAAATTTCCACCTCTCATGACCCATTGTCATCAGAGTCGATGAGGAGTAGTCAAAACCGAACCCCATTTCTGTCCCCTGTTCCTACCACGACCAATACTGATCCTTATAGAAAGTCACGTTCAGCTCCATTTTTGACGGCAAGGGTCACATCCAAATTAAGCTTCCCTCTTGTTTCCCCCAGTGACCATTGGGGTATGTGGACCTTTCTGTTTGCCTCCGGTGCTTTTGGTATATGGTACGTAATGAATGCTAACCTCTGCAAAAGTTGACTCTTCGATATATTCATCTTTTTGCTGCCTATTCCAGTTCTAGTTCTATGACATTATTAAAAATTATTTCATCAGAATTTAGTTTCTTGAGGTTATTTTGGAGTTAAGGTATTGTTGAAACTAATCATGGTAAGCACTGCAATATATTATTTGGAAGTGAAGGTCAGAAAACACGAAGATTGGGAGTGCCATTAGTGGGTGTGTGACCAGCATTTTGGTGGGGCTTGCAGCTAGCAGTTTTGGAATCGTTGGCAGCGATGCTCCGGCATACTCAACTGTAATGGAGTTCCTACTTCCCTTGATTGTTCCTCTCATGTTGTTCAGAGCCGATCTGTACCGTGTCATCAAATCAACTGGAACCCTTCTCTTGGCTTTCATGATTGGTTCAGGTATACTTTATTTGCCTCCATGAGTTTGTAATTTCCTTACCATGGATGCCAAGGCGCTTTGTTCTGTTCAATGAGCTATTTGTATGTCACTTGACATTCTGAATTGTGATGTACTGAGAGGACTGTGAATGTAGAATCTCCATGCAGATTTCAGCGCATTGTTTCTTTGGCTAACCCTGTTATAAATCTTCAAAAATATTTTTAATTTTGTAAAAAGGAAGTTGATGTCTGTTCTTGTTATCTTTCCTGATATTCTGAGGGTGAATCACATTGTTCCACTTCCATCTCATGCTGACATTTCTAACTTCTCCCTCATATGACAGTTGCAACAATAGTTGGAACAGGAGTGGCATATTTTCTGGTGCCAATGAGGTCGCTGGGTGAAGATAGTTGGAAAATAGCAGCAGCTTTAATGGGCAGACACATTGGTGGAGGTAATTTATGTTAACCGTTGATGTTCTCCTGGATTAGTCTCAAGGTTTCACTATTTACTGAGCACATTAAAATAGCGATTAAAACTAGGACCGGTTTCTTATGGCATCTTTTCACCATGTCCTTTAAAAAGAGCTAGTACATATATGGACAATTTTTTTTTTTTTTTGGTAACATGCACGTGGACAGATTTCCACATTACACTTGCAGCATCAAGTCATTGACTCTTTCAAAAGCTTCTTACAAATGGGTATGGAGAAACATACACACACGCACACATATGGGATACTCTTTCTCGTTTCTGCTGAAAATTTCCTTTTTTCTTTGGCTCATTAAGATAGGAAAAATCTTGAGAGCATGTTATCTCTCGGAATTATATCATTGCTGCCTATCTGCTTCGATTTTCTGTTTCATAATTAACATATTTTCTGATTTTGGTGTCATATAGCTGTTAATTATGTTGCTGTGCCAAAGCCCTTCTGTTTCATATTAACATATTTTCTGATTTTGATGTCATATAGCTGTTAATTATGTTGCTGTTGCCAAAGCCCTTGGCCTCTCTCCCTCAGTTCTAGCATCTGGACTGGCTGCAGATAATGTTCTAAATGCTGTGTTTTTTGCCACTCTGTTTGCATTAGCCTCTAGACTGCCTCCAGAAGATCAAACATCAGAAGGTATGCCAAATTCTAGTCTACTCGAGACACATTTTTTTAACATGACTCACTTCTGGCTAGCATACTTTCACATTTATGCGCTCATAGTTTGGCTTATTCTGCAAGTATTTAAAATGGTAATCTAGCTATGACAATTCTTTCGTTTTAAAATCCCTTGTTTGAATCAAGTAATTGACTGGTAATTTACATCAAGGAACTTTTTGCAGGTGCTAAATTGGATGAAGGGTCAGAGAATAGCAAAAAATTTCCAGTGTTACAGATGGCAACATCTATTACTGTGTCATTTGCTATCTGCAAGATTTCCACTCTACTCACAAACTATTTGGGAATTCAAGGAGGTCAACTCCCAATTATTACATTAATCTCTGTCATGCTGGCAACAACATTTCCAAAGCCATTTGCTTATCTTGCACCATCTGGTCAGGGAATGGCTCTAATTCTCATGCAGGTCAGTTATTCTTTGTGAAATGCTTTTCTCTGTGTTTTCCTTTTTTGCTACACTTCTTTTCTCTTGTCCTATCATATAGAAACCTTGAACCTTGACCATATTCCATGCTAAACCTCTTATACAGACCACCGGTTTGGCACAGCCTTTGATTTTCCAAACCAATTCAAGCCCTTTAGATTTCAGTTTCATGAACTTCAAAATTCATTCCTTAAAAACGAGATTTGATGTTGACAGTGTTAAGTCTTTCATGGGAACAGGTATTCTTGACGGTGGTGGGTGCAAGTGGGAGCTTATGGAATGTGATCAACACAGCACCAAGCATTTTTGTGTTTGATTTGATTCACTTGGCTGTTCATCTGGGTGTGATACTTGGTGTGGGAAAGCTTCTGAGGTTTGATGACAAATTGCTGCTTCTTGCATCCAATGCTAATGTTGGAGGCCCTAACACAGCTTGTGGGATGGCCACAGCCAAAGGCTGGGCTTCCCTCATCGTCCCAGGAATCCTTGCTGGTGTTTTTGGAATCTCCATTGCAACTTTCTTAGGAATTGGATTTGCTGTCACTGTACTGCAGAACATTTACAAGCTTCGGATTTAAATTTTTTCATCCTGATTTAGGATATTGATCATAAGTAAAAATAACATTTCAGGGAGAATAATCTTGATTGTTTTTGATTCGCCTATCCCAACTATTGTCCACAGGAAAAAGATCTACTGACACATCCAACATAATACACACTCACCTTAACTACATGGGAAAAGATTCCGCAACCTTCCCCATAAGAGGGATTGAGGCTCTTTGATAAGAATAATCACAATTAAGAACCGTTTTCAATTAAACATCCGCATTTTCAATTTAACTTAGATTGTTTTCAAAATTAGGTGTAAATTTATAATAATAGTTATTAAATTGATCATCAACTGTTTTATTTCACATTTGACATTTATTTTTAAGATATCATGAAAAGGCAAAAAAAATTCATCATTTGAGTATCATCCGAGTCCAATTGAACAGTCTAAAGCAACCAAAAAATAAATAAAAACGATATAACAATAAAATTGATCGAACTTCTCTTTTAATTGAACTAATTTGTTGAATTGATTTGATTTTTCTCCAAACCAAACCAGAGGTATATTTATCCATTTCTTCTTAAACCAAACCAAAGAGTAATTTCAATGCATATAATTAATAAAAATATTTTGAGAAAGACAATATTCATTTATTACAACTAATTAATTTAATTAACTTTCTCAATTTTTGTAAATTAATTATCTAATGCTTATATTAAGAATTGGAGATAGTATTAATATCCATACTACTTACTTGTTATTAGAAATTTTTTATTATTATATATATATTTTTTGAAATTTCACATCGATTTTGCATACCTTTTTTTTTTTTGGTTGAAAAAACATGAGACTTGAGTGTGACAGAAAAACAGTGGTCATGTGCAAACCATGGGCCTCTTTGCCAGTTTGCCCCATGGATGTTATCGATGGTTTTTTTTTTTTCAAAAAAAAAGGTAACATTGTAGCAGTTTCTTTTTTTACGAAGATCTTATCGGTATTTGTTTGGGGCCAAAAACCTTATCGATAGCTGGAAGCAGGGAGAATCACCGCAGTACAAGATAACAGTGATTTCTATCTGAAATTTCCGTTGCCAATGACGGCCTTGGCCACGCCGTCGCCCATCGGTGTTACCGTCCTGTCTCGGTCATCGTCAAACGCGTCGCGGCACCGTCCGTCTTACCGTTCCCGCTACGGCAGCCTCACCCCATTCCCGCCACGTGAGGCTGAAACCTTGTCTGAAAGAACCACAAGACCATTTCCGAAGAGGCTGACTTTGACGCCAACTTCAGCTCGACTTTTCACAGTTAGGTCGCAGCTGAAATATCCCATCGTATCTCCTGATGATCATTGGGGCACATGGTCCGCTCTGTTCAGCATTGGTGCTTTTAGTCTCTGGTAATAACATGGTGCTCTCTTTGTATCATTTACAGCTAGGTACCTTTAACATGGTGCTTTCCATCTCTGCCTTCTTATTCTTTTTTGGTTTCCCTGGAAACGTGGGAAAATTTAAATGTGAATTTTACTTTTGAAATAGAAGGTTGACTTAGCTGTTCTGACGATAGTCAATTTGTTGTGTAATTTGCGAAAATATTACAGTGGTACATTAGAGTTAAGCACGTGTTATGTTATGACATAACAGATGCTAGTTGTATGACAGCCGTCAGCTTAGTTATACAAATTCTGAACCTCTGTTAATCTGGGAATAAATTCTATTTGTTATTGCGATTCGAAGTGAAGCTGTCATTGCTGACAAATTCTCTGAATTTATCCACTTTCAAATTAGACTTTTTTTTTCCTCTTAATTACTTAATAGTAGAATGTAAATGAACATATCTGGGTGACTTATTTGTAAAATGAATATATTTTACATGAAATGCAAGGTCGGAGAAGACCAAGGTTGGAAGCATGGTAAGTGCTGCCCTGGTGAGCACCTTTGTTGGCCTTGCAGCAAGTAATCTAGGAATACTTCCTTATGATGCGCCGGCTTACGCAATTGTCTTGGAGTTTCTGCTTCCCTTAGTTATTCCCTTGCTATTGTTTAGAGCAAACTTGCGCCACATGGTGCACTCCACAGGAACCCTACTGTTAACTTTCTTACTTGGTTCAGGTGATTTAAGTTACTTGGGCTTGGGAGAGTCCTGTATGCCCAAACATGAAAAGGTTGCACTTAAACTTACGCACTAGTCAAATGATTAAACGTAGCATTATAATTGCCCTGCTGCAGTAATATTATTCAGGCTAACACCTAACAGAGGCAAATACAAGACTACAATGAGACCTAGACATTGAAACATTGTTTAATTATAACAGTATTATGGGAATTTAATTTTGTTAATTTTATTTTAATCATGTGAATGGCAGTTGCCACTATTGTTGGAACTCTAGTAGCATTCTTAGTAGTGCCAATGCGGTCTCTCGGTCCTGACAACTGGAAAGTAGCAGCAGCTCTCATGGGAAGCTATATTGGTGGATGTAAGTTCCTCAAAAAGTTGAGACAAATTTAATTTTAGTCTGTCTGTGCCCGAAGTACGGGTACAAATAATCTGTTACATCAATTGCAGGTTTTATGTTAACTCCATCTTTCTCTGGTGTTAATGTTGTATTATAATTAGTGCGATACTTTATCTTATGTATTCTGTATCTTTTTAGGACGTTCATATTTATCATATATACGTAATATTTCATAAGGGATGCCCGATGAATGATCGATCATGAATGTATAACAGAGTTGGCGTGCAGCAACGAGAATGAAGAATTTAGCATGACTTCACGGATGCTTATGTTGAATTATGTTTGCATCATGAATTTAGTACATAAAACTCTGTAGATGCTGAGTTTAGAACTTTAGTCTTAGCCATTTTTCCCTAAAACAATTTTTTTTTATTCATTTATTTTCACAACGACGATAAAATAACTGAATGAGTTTCCTTTGTCCCTTTCCTGGCTGCTCGGGTTGATTGCTGTAGCTGTTAATTATGTTGCTATTTCAGAGGCGCTCGGTCTGTCTGCTTCAGTTTTAGCAGCAGGAGTAGCTGCAGACAATGTTATTTGTGTTACACATATCATGGTATTGTTTGCATTGGCTTCTAACATACCTCCTGAAGCTTCAGCCTCAACTACTGGTATGATTTTCTGGTTCTTACATGCTGTTGGGCTGCAAGATAAGCGTCTATTTATCTTTTCCAATAGTTGCTTAATATCTTATGAAGTGTAGCACACTACAAAAGACCGGAGGGAGTATCTTGAATCTAGATCCAGCTATTCTTCTCTTATGTTGGGTAAAATTAAAACTGTTAATTTAATATAATTGTCAAATGGAAAAGTTGGCTTGACGACAGAGCTAATATTGGCAGATGATGCGATGTACATAGAGTCCAGCGATGGGAGCAAGATACCCGTGTTGCAGTTTGCCACTGCACTTGCCACATCGTTTTTAGTATGCAAAGCTGCCAAAAGCCTAACAAAATTATCTGGAATTCAAGGAGCAACTCTTCCAGGAGTCACAGCAATCATAGTCATTTTAGCCACTGTCCTCCCAAGGCAAATGGGTTCCCTTGGACCTGCTGGTCATACTATTGCACTGCTCTTGATTCAGGTAGCAAAATCCTTGAAACCTTACGAAGACCTTATTTTCTTTAATTTGGTGATGTGACCTTACTTAATCAACATGAGAAAATGCTGCTCAGGTATTTTTTGCAGTGACTGGGGCTAGTGGGAATGTGTGGACTGTCATCAAGACAGCCCCAAGTATCTTCATGTTTGCTCTAATCCAAGTGACCATCCATCTTGTTATAGTTCTTGGGTTCGGAAAGTTGTTTGGGTTTGATTTGAAACTGTTGTTATTAGCATCCAATGCCAATATAGGAGGTCCTACGACTGCCTGCGGAATGGCCAAAGCAAAAGGCTGGGAATCTCTGGTTGTTCCTGGCGTTCTTGCAGGCATTCTTGGCATTTCCATTGCCACTTTCCTTGGCATTGGATTTGGAGTTATGGTTCTCAAACACCTTTAATTTAAGGCTCAATAGCAAGTACATTTGAAGTCATGATTCTTTTTTCTTTTCTTTTCTTTCCTTTTTTTTTTTTTCAGTGAACATTTTTGCATATAGCTGATGGTGTCTAGTTTCATTTTGTCCTTCCATGCATTGCATGGAGATATTCAAAATATTCTAAAAATAACACTTACAACCAAATGTTGTTATATTAATATGATGCTGCTCAATGATCAAAATTGAATAATAAAAAATCCAAATACCATAGTGATGTAGAAATATAGATGGAAGGAAAATCTAGGCTATAAGGAGTTTAATAAATTGTTGAAGAAAGATTAAAAGAATAAAAAATTGTACGAAATCTGGTAGAAGTGTACTATTTATGGTTTACGAATAATACTATTTTATATAAATTTTAGATTTTATTCTGAAGTTGATATTGATTATTGATAATATTCACAAGACACGAGCAGTAACTAGAAAACACACTACACGCGACGATCTTTCTTGTGGGATTTTGATTTAGTATGAAGCAGTAAAAATTTATATGTGTCATCCATTTGCAGTTAAAATATATGCACCATATTACCTGAACAAAAACAAATTATTTTACTATAGATTCATAGCATGGTGCCTGCGCTCAACGACAACTTTTGCCTTCCGGCCTTAATCCGACCCTTTTGTCCCATCGAAATAAGACTTTGCACAATTTGGGCCGAGGGACGTCTTCCTTTTGCTACCTAGTTTTTTTAATTAACATTGCTTAAACGATAATTGTGTTTAAAAGAAGGAGCTAGTCTTTATAACATAGTGAACTAATATTCAAATTCTTACTCAGAGACACGTTTATATTTAGTATCTGACCGTGTCTCGAAAATGATTGTCTCCAATTAAAAGATATCTGTGCATGTTAAGCCTGCACCTTGAGGAGATTGTTAAGATGTTAGAGATGCGAGCGGATAAAAGGTTAGAGTAGAGGCTCTGGAAGTGGTTGGGGTTTTTCTCTCTCTTGGGAAATGCGCTGCAACTTTTTTCTGCGAACTCCATGGCCGATACGGGGCAACGGAAAATGCCACCAGATCATAAGCTAGCTGAAGAAACCTCCGGGAAAAACAAGAAGAAAAAGATTGAAGAACCTCCGCAAGCAATTATGGATGACCGGATGGAAGAACAAGGTGAAGCAGAGCAACACTCGGCAGAAACGAAAAAGAACATGGAAGGGGGTTTCGTCTCATACAAAGCCTCCCTGATGGGTTTCAACGGCGTGGCGCACGGCGCGAACCCGATGGAGGAGGATGATCTTTTCAATGCTGAGAGCGAGTTACATTGGAAATTACCGGAAGTATCTGAAGAGTTCAAAAACCAAATGGAAATATACCCTGTGGTTCCTGTAAGCGAGGAAGAATTCAATGAGTGGTGCCAGCCCTGGAATTATGCACTGGTGCTAACAGTGCTAGGTAGAAGGTTCAATGTGTATGCTCTAAAAGATTACCTGCGAATTTTGTGGGGTTTCTCGGACTTTGATTTAATCGACCTCCCAAATAATTACTTCCTCGTTCGCTTCAGCGAATCTGATCAATGGAAAGCTCATTACCGAAAAGTCTTATATGATGGGCCATGGGTAGTAAAACAACACTGTGTCCTGGTGCAGAGATGGTTGTCATATTTCAACCCCCATCAGAATCCTCTGTGGCGGGTCGCCACATGGGTGCGGATCCCTGATATACCCATGCACTATTATAACAGTCATTGCATTACCAGAATAGGTGATTGTATTGGTCGAACTCTGAAGGTGGATATTAATACTCTCAGCAATGGCCTGCACACAAATCAGACGAAGGTCGAGAGAGGCAAGTATGCAAGAATTTGCGTGGAGCTTGATTTGCAAAAGAAACTGGTACCCAGAGTCATTGTTGCTGGAGAAATCTTCAATGTAGAATACGAAGGGCTAGGAGTAATCTGCTTTGCTTGCGGCAGGTTTGGTCATCGGCGTGAAGCATGCCCCTGGAAAGTCAGTATGAACACGCAAGAGCCAAGTGCTTCAACGTCACCGCCGATCGTAGTTGCACCATCGAAAATGCCGGAAAAGAACAAGGCTGACACTGATGAGACGTTTGGGGTATGGATGCTTGCTGGCAAATCTTCTAGGGCTCAGTTCCCGAAGTATGGAGAGCAGAAGCCTGGGTTGCGTACTGCAGCTAGTCAGCCGAAGGCTAAGCGAACAGAGAAAATGTATGTGCAGAAATTGAGATTCTCAGTCTTTGAAGATTGGGAAGAGACAGAACAGATGGAAGCAACCTAGCCCCTAGATACGAACAAGGAAACTGCAAAGCAGGATGCAGAAGGAAAGGCCATTGTCCTTTACCAGAAGAAGAGGGCTCTAGAGGGGGTCAAGGAGCAACCACGTCGAGTTAGGAATGAACAGGGGCGGAAAAATGCTCATAGTCCAAGGGTATCTACTAAGGACCTGGGAAAGGAGAACCAGCCACCTCCGAATGGGCCGAACTTTGGACCTGGGCCGGATAAAATTATAAGAAACAAAGAAACTGAGGTAGCTTCACAAATGGGCCAGACAAAACAGATAAAGCAGAAGAGCCAGCGGACCCATAGGGTGGTAATGGGCAATGTGGAACAAGCAGAATCAAAATTTGACGAAGCCCAATTGAGTACAATAGATAGGTGCAACATAGAAGAACCACACATACCGTCCCAAGCACTTAATCTCGTCACGAACACTAATGACGAGCAACAGGGATAGGATGGAACAGGCACTACACAAGGCAGTATGCTCGAGCGTATTGCAGTGGAAAGCTTGAACCCGAAGCCACCAGACCCATTGGTCGAGAACTCGGCAAGACTAGAGGAGGGGATGATAGAGGAGAGCTCGGATGTGGCGGAGGAGGTGCAAAGGAGCCGAAGGAGGAGCGAACACTGCAGCTAAGTGCTTGCTCTCGCCCTTTTCCTTCCTTTTTCCTTTTATGATTATTGCTTCTTGGAATTGCAGGGGAGCTGGTAGCCGAAGCTTCCCCACTTTGATAAGAGATATTGTTACGAAGTTTAAAGTGGACATTCTCTGCCTTGAGGAACCACGTGTTAGTGGAAACAGAGCGGATAATGTGGTGAAGAGGTTGGGCTTTTCTCACTGGATAAGAGTAGAAGCTAGCGGTTATTCAGGAGGGATCTGGCTTTTGTGGAACAGTACGGAGGTCTCTGTTACTTATATATGTTCCTCGGCGCAATTCATCCATTGTAAAGTGAGCAACAGAAGCAATCCGAATGGAGAACTCATTACTATTGTTTATGGGGAGACGAGCATCGCTGGAAGAATGATGCTTTGGGACTCCCTGAGATTGATTGCTGGCACGGTTACAGAACCCTGGCTGGTTTTTGGGGATTTCAATGCCTACATGTCGCCAGGGGACAAGGAGGGAGGAAGCAGACCAAATGAAGCAGTCATGGCACCGTTTCGGGAGTGCATAGCGGATTGTGGTTTAGCTAAGTGTGAGACAAGAGGGGACAAATTCACTTGGGAAAGAACCGGCTTGAAAGAACGACTAGACTGGGTCTTTCATAATGCAGCATGGACAGAAAGTTTTCCGAGAACCTTTGTTACACACGAGCTTCGTTTCAAATCTGATCACAGGCTCCTAGTTATAAACTCGGATAATCATGAGAACAGGAAGAGGAGACAGAGAACTTTTGTGTACCAAGTGGCTTGGGAGCTTGAAGATGATTTTAAGGATGTTATCTCGACAGCTTGGAATGGCAAGACCTGGCTAGAGGGTGTTAAAACTTTCCACAAGGAGGCATTGAAATGGCATGATCAGCAGGTGGGAAATCTGGTTAGGAGAAAAAAGGAGTTGATGAAGAGATTGGTAGGAATCGACAGGGAAAGAAGATTACATGACCACCCGGGGCTTAGAAGGTTGGAAGAGAAAATTTGGGGGCAGTACCAGAAAACTATACTACAAGAAGAAATACAATGGTACCAAAGGTCGAGATGCAAATGGTTACAATGGGGGGATAGAAATACCCGATTCTTTCATGCGTCCACCATCCTCAGAAGGAAGAAACAGAGAATTGAGGGGTTGAAAAATGAGAATGGAGAGTGGGTAAAGGACCCTGAGATTATGAAGCAGATGGCTTGTGAGTTTTATAGGAACTTGTACACTAGGGACTCGGGTTTTCAATCTGTTCCAAACTGGTATGCAAAATTTCCACACCTGGATAGGCAAGAAATACTTTGGCTTCAACGTCCAGTGGACTCAATCGAAATAAAAAATGCCGCTTTTGAAATGGGGGCTTTTAAGGCCCCAGGCCCGGATGGGATCAATGCACATTTCTTTCAGAGCCATTGGAACTTGATAGGGGAACAGGTATGTGACCTAATCAAGTCTTTCTTTAGGGAACCAGCAAGAATCAGAGCAGTGAATCAAACACGCATAATTCTGATCCCCAAGGTGGACAATCCAATACACCTGAAGGATCTCAGGCCAATCTCTCTCTGCAATGTTAGTTTCAAGATTCTTACCAAGCTCCTTGCTTCCCGCCTTAAAACAGTGATGGATAAGCTGGTAAGTCAGGAACAATGCAGCTTCATACCAGGACGGTCCAGCTGTGACAACATCGTTATTGCCCAGGAGGCCATGCACACAATGCGAATCACCAAGCGGAAAAAAGGCTTAGTGGCCGTAAAGGTGGACATGGAAAAAGCCTATGACAGATTGGACTGGGACTTCATTAAAGACACTCTGCGCTATATTGGATTAACAAAAGGCTTGGTGGAAATCATTATGATGTGCATTACGACGGCCTCAATGTCGGTCCTATGGAACGGAGAGGAGAGTGCTGATTTCAACCCCTCAAGAGGCCTCAGACAGGGCGACCCCCTTAGTCCGTATATTTTTGTTCTGTGTATGGAGAGACTCGGGCAGCTTATAAAGCTAGAATGTGAAGAAGAGAGATGGAAACCCTTAAGATTCAGGAAAACAGGACCGTGTATCTCTCACTTATTTTTTGCAGATGACCTCATCCTGTTTACAGAAGCCTCGATGGACCAGATGATTGAAATGAAGCATGTTATGGAGAGCTTTTGTCTTGCTTTGGGGCACCGTGTGAATCTTGATAAGTCGAAGGTATTTTGCTCTCGGAATGTAAATCAAAACAGGGCACTGGAACTAAGCCAAACTCTAGGCATTGGACTCACGGCGGATCTAGGGAAATATCTGGGAGTGCCGTTGCTTCACAAGAGAGCCACCAAACGTACCTTCTCCTATATTACCCAGAAGGTGCAAAGAAGACTGTCATCTTGGAAGAGCCGGCATTTGAGCTATGCAGGGAGGTCGGTCCTCATCAATTCAGTGCTAAACGCCATTCCTAGCTATCTCATGCAATCTACTCTCATTCCAAAGGGAGTTCTCGAGGAAGTAGAGAAGGCTAGTAGGAGTTTTTTGTGGAGTCAGGATGCTGACACAAGAAAGATGCATATGGTCTCATGGGAGAAGATCACTGACAGGAAGACAAATGGTGGACTTGGTTTAAAAAATCTACATCAACAGAACAAGGCTTTTATAATGAAGTTATGTTGGGGCTTGATTACCAAACATAATGCGCTATGGGTTCAAGTGCTTAGAACCAAATATAAGTGTGGAAATGATGATATCCCAAGGGTTCACTATAAAAGAACAGCTTCCCTCACTTGGCGTTCCATATTCGAAGTGTGGGAGATCTTCATGCAGGGTGTGGGGAAAAAACTGAACAGCGGTGAGAACACAAGTTTTTGGTGGGACCTATGGACCCCATTGAATCACCCGCTCATAACATATGCAAGCAGAAACTCAAGTTTGGACGCTAAAGCCACAGTCAAGGATTTTGTCCGGGAAAATGGAACTTGGGATGTGGATAGATGGCGTGGAGTGCTACCTCCTCATATTATTAGGGCCCTACTACGCCTAAAACCCCCTACAAACAGACTGTTGGACGTATTTATTTGGAGACCAGCAGTAGATGGGAAATACTCGATTAAATCAGCCTATAATTTCATTGACATGAGACAGCGGTCTGGTAGGGAGTCTTGGTGGCAAAAACTTTGGAAGTGCCGGGTACCAAAAAAAGTTAAATTCTTTCTGTGGCAAGTGACCCATGAGAGTATAGCCACAAATGCTTTCATAGCCCAAAGAGGAATCTCAGATACTGCTAATTGTCCTTTTAACTGTCAGAGAGAGGAGAGTATTATACACACTTTGAGAGATTGTGAGAGAGCAAGAGAATTTTGGTCATCAATAATTCATCCTAAATTTGCTTCTAGTTTTTTTGTTTCTAACTTGCAGGACTGGCTTTCTTGGAATGCTACGCATCGACCAGCCGTTGGAAGGATCTCAAACTGGGAATGGATACGTGTTTTCATGTTTGGATGCTGGCTACTTTGGACATCTAGATGCACCTACGTGTTTGAAGGGAAAGCGAACACCACTAGAGAACTGATCCAGCGATGCAAATACCACCTGATGGAGAGTACGACTAATCAGAAGCTTCAACATGATGTTTTTAACGCTGCCGGGGAAACTGAGAACCAATGGACACCGCCACCAATAAATGCAGTTAGACTCGACGTGGATGGTTCGGTGCTAGGCAACAGACACGCTGCGTGCGGTGGAGTGATCAGAGATCATGGCGGGAACTGGCTCATGGGGTTTCAACGTAATCTGGGTTGCTGTTCAGTTACAGAAGCAGAATTAATGGGTATCCTGACAGGCTTGCAGACATGCCAGCAACTGGGTTTCGACAGGATCATACTTTATACAGACTCTTTGGAGGCTTTTAATCTCCTGATGCGAGATCAGGTTATAGACCACCCATTAAGATCTCTTGTCACTGATACGAGGGAAATGATATATGGGAATTGGTCGGTTGAGGTTCGCCATACGAGAAGAGACATTATTAGGTGTGCTGACTTTTTGGCGAGAACAGGGCATGAAGGATCTTTTGATACGGTTCTGGTTCTTAATGAGCCGACTGAATGCAGGAATATGACACTAGAAGAACAGCAAGGTGTCTGAGTTGGAAGCTCTTATAGGCCCTGTAGTGTTTATGTTACTTTTGCTATCTTAGTCGTGGTTGTTGGTTCTTTTTTGTTTTCTGCCCAAGCTTCGGCTTGTCGTCTTTGTCTCAAAAAAAAAAAAGAGATGCGAGCGGATAGGACTTGGTGGGGATATGAGTTTCATGTTGGGTAACACACACACACACACTCGCTCTCTCCAATAGGATTCCTTCTCCCTTTTTAGGAGAAATTGTTGGGTTGAAGAATAGGCGTGTAGGTACAACCCTCTCTATTATATTAAAATGAGCATCAGCATAATTTTTCAAAAATCAAATAATTTAATACAAATACTTTTTAATATTTTTATATTTTGAAATAAAAATATATAATTTTTAAAGTAAAAATAATAACCAAAAATAGATAATAACTTATTTTAACAATTTTTTAACTTGTGTAAAACAGTTAATTATTTATTATAATAAAAAACGCGAATGCCAACTAAGGAAACAAAAGCATGTTATAGAACCCCCACCCCCCACGATAAAAGGCAAAGATAGTGACATTTGAGGCTAAGATGCATGACGTACGTTGAGAGATGCTACGTTGAACCCAGGATCTCCCCATGTTTTTCTACCTCTTTGGTTTGTTCCCATCAATTTCCATCATAACCTTATCTTAATTAGTTTGGATCACAATTAGATGGTTAATCATTCTAAGATCCCATAGATAAAGGTCTTAGTGTATGGATTAAGTGTCAAGGATGGTTAAGTCCTCCTCTTTAGTCAACATAGGTCCTTTAATTGCTTCACGAGTGCAAAAAAATTTGGGATTTGTTGTTACTTTATCCTATGATAGAGTCCATTGTGTCGTCGTTTCTGAATCAATTAATAAAACTTCATTATTATTTTGTTTTTTGTTCTTCTCTTCAACAGTCATGCTTCTTAAGGTTCGTGTGTTGGAACTTCCTTAAGATGGACAACATTAATCAGTGATTTTCTACACTAGTGGTTGTCAATTTGCCAACGGGTAGAGATTTATAAAGCAGACTTTTCTTGTTCTATGATAATTATTTCATAAAAGGTCGTCCACAGAATTTCACACAAGTTCACAGAATCCGGGCTTTTACAAAACGATGTAACCAATACGAAGCACATAAGCTCGACGCAGAAAAAATAGTACGGACAGCCTAACAACGCGAAATAGTAAATACACCCAAACTAAAGTTCACAGAGAGATCAACAAGTGATGAAACTAAATAACAAAAATTAAAGTCATGAGATAACTCATCATCAGCAACGTGCTAAATCATTCAGAAAAGCCCTTAGATTCTGATGGGAAGACCCTCCTTCCTTCACGGCCTCTCTAGCCAAATCCATCCATTTCTCTGCCTCGTTTCTCATTTCCACTGCTTTCTCTCCCTCCCCCAACACCACATCCAAACACCTCCTAATTTCCTCACTCTCTGCTACTCCTTCCTCGTTCACCTTCACCCTCGTACCTGTCCTCCACACGTCTTCTATCAGCTTCGCATTCGTCACCTGGTCCGTCCACTGAGGAAACGCCACCATGGGAACCCCCGAAACTAAGCTTTCTAAGCTCGAATTCCAACCACAGTGCGTCACGAAACATCCCACCGCCCTATGTGACAGAACCTCCACTTGGCTACACCAGTTGACTATCATACCCTTCTCTTCCAGTTCCTTCCTCCACTTGTCTTCTTTATCCCCATTCTTCTCTTTTTCCTGCTTTTTCTTCTCTTCTACTCTCCCAACATGTTCCCCTCCTCCTTCTTTTGTCCGGTTCTCTTCCATTGTCGTTTCGTTATCTTTCATGACCCACAAGAATGGCCTTTCAGAATCCGAAAGGGCACGTGCGATTTCCTTCACCTGCTTCCTAGATAACAACGAAAGGCTTCCGAATGCAACATACACCACCGAACGCTCTGCCTGCGAGTCCAGCCATTCCATGTAACCACCTGAGGAACACCTAAAGATGTCAACCCCAAACGATTTGTCACTCGGATCCTTCCCGTCTAAAAACGCAGAAGGAATCAACGGCCCGATGGGGATCATGTTCAGCTTATCCACGGCTCTGATTGCCTCCGATTCCAACGCTTCGAAAGTGTTCACCAGAACTCTTGGCTTCGCGTCCCTCTCCAGTTCAGTGAAGTGCTCGTCCATGAACGGAATGGCAAAAGAGTAAACATTAGAAGGTTGTAGGAATGTGGGAAGCTCCTTCGTCTTCAGCAATGGCAATCCCGGTAGTTTTATCTCTGATTCGGGGTCTTCGCTTTGGGTGTCAATGTAGTCTCGGTAACCCCTCAGGTAGTAATAGAATATGTCCAGCACGGCGGCCGGTTGAATCCAAAGCAGCGCTGACGTCACGTTAAGTGAACGCGCTGCCTCTGCAGCCCAAGGAACAAAGATAGTGTATATTAAGCACGTGAAAGTAGTTCCACCTCCATTGGATTTGGAGGCCATGATGAGATTGGCAACAGCTTGTTGTCCGCGACGTTTCATTTCAGATATGAAGACGGAGACTATGGCGTCGTCAGGGGTGTTGGCAAAACCGTCATCGTAGCCGTCGGAGAAGGTAGCGAAAGCGAGGCCGTCAATGATGGGTTTGTGGATGATACGACGGTGCATGGAGACGGTGGTGAGAAGAGTCACGCGCGCACCGACGCCAATAAGTCGCTTGGCGAACTGGAGAGTAGGGTTCAGGTGGCTTTGCGCCGGGAACCCAACGATCAGGAAGTGTTGCAGCGGTTGCGCCATGGTTTCAGTAGTCGCGGCGCGTGGGGAAGGCTTCAAACTGGGAATGATTAATTTGGAGGTCCGACGTGATGATCTGAACACAATTGAGCACTAGATATAAATATATATAGAAAACAAGAATAATCTGGTCCAAACAAAATATATATATATATATATATATTATAATTATAATCATGAATGAATGAGTATAAGAGTCAATTAACAATGCAAGGGTAGTATTGTATTTTCAAAAAATGTAACAGGCCCTTCATCATAACGATGGGTTATATTACGGCAGAATCTTAATATAAGAATCAATTGATTAATTTGACTAGATTAATAAAGTTTGTTGAGATAATTATTTGTAATAATTAGATGCTGTGTTTCCTAAAATACCTTTACTATTTATGTATTAGCTAAAACTACCGTTTGATTGAATATTTAACATGTGCAACTACTACAATGATTACTTTGAAAAAATAGATAAATATGAGAGACAAAGTGAATTTAGATCTTATATTTAAGATCAAATTAAAATTCAAACCAGCTCTGATATTAACTACTACCTCCGGTTCTAATTATAAGAGCCAGTTGACTAATTTGAGGAGATTAAGGAAATAAGTTGAGTTAGTTATTTGTCCTGGTGTTGTCTTTTCTAAAATATCCTTGCTAATCAAATGTATTGACTAGAACTCTTATTATTAAAAGGGTTACTTCGGAAAAAATGTATAAATATGAGAAATAAAGTGGATTGGGGTCTTATATTTATGATCAAAATAAAAATCAAATAAACTCTTATATTAAAGACTGAAAGTAGTATTAGAGGTAGTATTTTTTTTCTTTTTGGGGTCACAGGCCCTTCATCATCAATCGGTTGTATTGATATGTTTCACGCGTTGTTATTAGAACGACATGTGGGGCTCAGACGACGCACTACGTTGGAGCCCGATGCTTCTTTTCCCCTCAAAACTTGTTAGATTTTTTGTGGAACTAACGTGAGACCAGATTTGTCTCTCAAAAATTCTTACGCCCAATATATGGAAGGCCATTTAATTTTCCTAGCTGACAGAGGAATAGTTGATGATTAAGGTACAGTAACATCGTGTGATCCATATATCAAGTCACATTTAGTGAAATAAGACTTGTTATTGTTGTTGATAAAAGAATAATTGCATGCTGGCTGGCTATGTGGTAATCAAATACTAGTAGTGTGTGAGATATTTATACACTTCTTTAGTCCTTAATATAAAACATAATTAACTAATTTGAATAAATTAAATATGTTCGGTAAATTATTTAACATAACATATTTTTTCTAAAACACCCTAAGCATCTTTCTCAATTCCTTTTCTTCTTTTCCTACTTGATTATTGTTGAAAAAATATAAATTAGGTTCATTTTTTTAAAAAATTATTAAATATATAAAATAAATTTTACATATAAGATTAATATTAACCCTCTAATTAATAAATCCTACATTAAGTACTGGGCCAAAACTGAGATGCCCATTGGGAGGCTAAGGTATATGCTGTGTTGGGATTTCGTGTGATGGATGGGGGGCATTGTCTCTTTCATATGCTCTCTTCTCTTCGGTACGCACTCCCTTACATGTGTACGGAATAGCATGGTCCTTTATTTGTCTTGCTGCACAAGCGACAATCTTCCAACCGACGAATTAGAAAGAGACACGTCAACCCAGCAGCGTGGAGAGAAACCGTGACCATGTTTGACTGAAGTTTTAGTTCCAGCAAAACAAGACCGTATTACTCTTCCGATCCTTAATATAAGATCTATTTAACAAATTTGATTAGATTAAGAAAGTTAGGTAAGTTGGTTAATTATAAGAAAAGTGACACATTTTTCCTAAAACACCATAATCATCTTTCTTAATACCCCATCTCCCTCTTCTACTTAATTATGGTTGAGAGAGTATCTATAGGGGTAATTTAGAGAAAATTGATAAATATGAGAAATGGGTCTTATATTTAGGACTAAAATCAACTCAAAAATTGGGTCCTGTATTAAGGACCGGAGGAATATAACAATTGTTTCATAGAACACATGCTGTTATGAGCACACATACATAAGAACGTGTTGAGTTGTGATTGGCAAAGGCAACGGCTAGTAATATATGTAAATGATTTTATCTGAAATAAAATTGATGGCAACTTAGGTTAAAATTATAGATAAAACTACGCCTAAGGATTAGGCTCCTTTTCTTGCATTATTTTGTATATTTTGTTTCTCTGATGAGGCAATATTAATTAATTATCCTCATTTTTCTGCTATTTTCCTCTTACCAGTAGAGCTGGAAAAACAGGCCGGCTCAATTGTTTAAGTTGAGAGCCGAACTTGTAATTTGGGATCTTCAAAAGAAACTTAGACTTAAAAGGGCCAACTTTGTAGGGTTGAAAAATAAACGGGTTGGCCCTATAGGTTCACAGGCAGACCCATTTAAGCCTGCCAACAGTGATTTTTTCCTTCATTTATATTTTTTTGTTGACCCTAACTTAAGTCCCTTACATTTGACAAACTCTCCCTCTCTAAATTTCACTTTCAGTCTTTCACTCACTCTTAGCTCACACCTCAGTCTCTAATGATATTAAAATAAATAAAAATATATTCTTCATATCCTAAATCAGATTTCAAATTTGTATTTATTTAAACCAATAGTTATATATTAAAATAAAATAAAAAATTCTCCGTATTAAAAGACAAATTTTAATGATTGAACCAACAGATACGTATCAATTTGTATATATGTTATAAAATTTTAATAAATAAGTTAACACTTTTTTTATAGTGACTATATCAAAATTTTTACTCTATATTTAAATAGAGTTAGGCAAGCAAGTTAGACAAGACCAAAGTAGATTATCCTGAACAAAAGCAAAAAGAGAATGATATAGTTATCTCATTAAAAGCATATTATGTATCAATCCAAAGTGCTAAGATATTCCAGACTTCCCATAAGACTGTCTTGTAATTATGATCGGAGGTAGTAAGTAGACAACACATAATCAATCCCTAGTGGTTGCTAAGTTCAAACTTTCAAAACAAACTTAACATTAATACTTTTAAATAAACTTACTGGTGGGGGAAAATTCAATTCAAAAAGACGGAAGAAGACATATTAGACTTCAAAATAGCTAAATAGTATTGAGAAAAAGTCATCGATATTTTTAGCAGTTAAGAAAAGCTTATTATTACTTATTAGTGAAGCATAATCAAATGTTCTTACAATTGATGATAGTGTTTCTCCACTTTTTTTTTTCAATGAAAGCGTTTGTTTGCTTTTAATGAAATTTTTAAATGTTAATGTTATTGACTTATTATGTCTAATGAATATTTTAGATTTTTTGTATGTTGATGAATATTTAGATATGACGATCTTTTGTATTTGTGACTCGATTTTATTCATATTCATGTCTTTTACTAGTAATTTTATTGGTTTATTTTTATTTTTTAATAAAACATACAAAAAACATGAAAAATAGAAGGAAAAAAAATTTAAACAGGCCAAAAACCTGTGGGCTAGCTCTGAACCTGTCTACTTAAAAGCCGGGCTTAGTAAATTAAGATATTTTTAAAATTTCGGCCATACCTTTTTAGGCTCGCCGGTCCTGGCCTGTATTTCCAACTCTACGTGCCAACTCCCAAATCTCTTAGCGATCCGACATGAAGAGCAATGACATGCATGTGGCCATAAATCCGTGAAGTCAGTTGAGGTTTGGCCTTGTCAATGCTTTGGAGGTGTATTCATATGCCCGTGGACTTCATTAATTCGATTCTATATACTGATTGTTGTTATGTTAAAAAGATATTACTCCTCCGGTCCTTAATATAAGACGCAATTGTTAAGTTAGTTTCGGTCTTAAATACAAGACCCATTTCTCATATTTATTAATTTTTTCTAAATTATCCTTATGAATACTCCCTCAACCACAATCAAGTAGAAGAGGGAGATGGGGTATTAAGAAAGATGATTATGGTATTTTAGAAAAAACATGTCACATTTATTATAATTAACTAACTTACGTAATTTCATTAATATAATCAAATTAGTTAAATGGGTCTTATATTAAGAACCGAAGAAGTATTATATAACCTCCGGTCCTAATTATAAGAGTTAGTTGACTAATTTGAGGAGATTAAAGAAATAAGTTAAGTTAGTTATTTGTAATAAATATGTGTTGTCTTTCCTAAAATATCCTTGCTAATCAAGTGTGTTGGCTAGAACTATAATTATTAGAAGGACTACTTTGAAAAAAATGCATAACTATTAGAAACAAAGTGGATTGGGATATTATATTTTGGACCAAAATAAAAGTCAAACAAGGTCTTATATTAAAGACCGGAGGTAGTATATTTGGCGGGAAAAAACAATTATCATAATTAAAATTTCTTTTTCAGTTGTATTTTCGACACAAAATCACTTAAAATATAAATTAAACACCAGTATCTCCAGAATCTCTCAAATTCCTCTTCAGATGTTCATTAAACCACGTAGTTCACTTTTTTTTGGGGGGCGGGGGTCTGTGTCTAAAATATTTATCAGCCATATGTTCTCTGATGATAGCTAAAGAGAACACAGGAGAGATCCATCTCCCAAAAGTTGTTTACAGTATCCTGGGTCCTCATTTCAAAAGGTGATGGCAGTGGCAGTGGACAGGAAACTTGTGAACACTTAATTAATCATATCCTTAAATCATTTGCACCGTATTCTATACTCCTCCAATTCTAAATACAAATCCATTTTGTAGTATAAATTATATTATAAAATGAGTTTTATATATAAGACCAGAAAAGTATTAGTTAGTATTCCAACCGAGTAACGAAGACCACAAGCTTGCTTATATTATCCCACAAGTTATGACGACCAGCTCTTGGTTCTGATTCATCCCTTGTATTTGTATTATTACTTATCATACGCCTGTCTGGTTCATATCTTTTTTGCATGATTTTTGTTTTGGAGGAAATACCCATCACATAAGGTGATTAGATAGAAGCAGAGTTATTGATTTGTCAATTGTTTGTCGGAAACCTGATCACAAAAGCTGAGTAATAATTAATGTAATGCCTGAAAAGACAGACACTCA